TAGATGCTGCTGTAGGCAGACTGTGGAGGGTTGGACTTTATAGCGCAGCTGGATGTGCAGGAGGACGGCTGAGGAAGAAAGATGGTAGAGCAGGTACTCTGAGAATACTCTGTTATTCCTCCATCTCTCGCTTCGTCTCTATCACTCTGTCTCTCTCTCTCTTCTTCTCTCTCTCTCTCTCTCTCTCTCTCTCTCTCTCTCTCTTTTCCTCTCTCTCTCTCTCTATCACTCTGTCTCTCTCTCTCTCTTCCTCTCTTCCTCTCTCTCTCTCTCTCTCTCTCTGTCTCTCTCTTCCTCTCTCTCTCACTCCTCTCTGTTTGTGCTGCGACTGCAGAAGGCAGCATGCTCCTTTTCCTCCTCTGTGTGTGTGTGTGTGTGTGTGTGTGTGTGTGTGTGTGTGTGTGTGTGTGTGTGTGTGTGTGTGTGTGTATGTGTGTTTGCAGGGCTGCATGTTTTTTTGGCTGTCGACGTTTTCATGCATCTCTTTTTTTCTCCCTCAGTGAAAGAGTCGATGCATTTAGGCTTTAGAGAGAGAGAGCAAGCGAGCGAGGAGCTGCAGCTCTGTCTGGGAGGTGAAACCCAGAATTCAGTTTGTTGTGTTTGTTCAGCAGTTCGAGGAGAATAAGAGTGCAGGAGTGTGACGATATGAATGATACATCAGGAATTCTGTCATATAGCGTATTGTTCTGTATATGTTATCCGGCTGCTATCAGGCAGCGAGGGAATCCCTTAATGGAGAGACTCCGCTGTAAAAGATGGTGGAAATATACCCCAAAAACCAGCTGAGTGAAAACGTCATACGATCTTTCTGAAAGCCTGTATGTGTGGCTCGGTCGACTCTGACATCTGCAGGCTGAACTTCAACCACTGAATGTTTAGTGACCTCACAGAGAAGTTTGGAGAATAGTTTCCCTCTCACACGTGAAGCACACAGCTGGAGGTTATCCGTCTCACCCGCTGGAAACACTCTGTTTGCTTTAAGTGGGGGCGTGGCCTGAGAGCCTGCAGGATGACGAGGAAGACACCAACTTGTTTGTAACCGTGTTAGAGTTAGAGAGAGAGAGAACCTGAACTACAGTAATGCACCTGACAGTAACCTGCTGTGTTCACCTGTTAACGGGGGCGGGGGCGGGGGCGGGGCGGGGGCAGAGGCGGGGCAGAGGCGGGGGCAGAGTTCAGGCCGTTTGATCTCCAGGTCAGTAGATTTAGACATTGTGAGCTTCAGTGCTCCAGGTGAAGTAGAGATACAGTTAGATCAGGGGGGCAGGATTACAGGGAAACAGGGCGATGGGGGGGGGGGGGCTCTAACACTAGACGGGGGTCTTCAGAAGGTTCTGTTTGTTTCTGTCTCCAGTCAGAAGCTGACATTTAAACACATCGACACGTTTGGGAGGAAGAATGAAGACAGCCTGAAAACACTTTTATAATTTTAAAAGATGGAGGAATCCATGGTGGAAGGTGGTTGGCGGTTCCATAAGTGTGACATCATCACGTGAATAATGAGCAGAGGTTCCATAAATAGTTCAAATTAAAAACTGAAAACAAAAGAAGAAATTCAACTTAGGACAGAGAAATAACACACAGAGGACTTTCTGTGTGTGTGTGTGTGTGTGTGAGAGAGAGAGACTGTATGTGTGTGTGTGTATGTGTGAGTGTGTGCTGCCACGTGAAGCATATTTCAGTCCTCTAAATGTGGTTCTCATTACACAGCAGAGCTCCAAGCCAACACTCGCTCTCTAACAGCAGTAACCTCTCACACACACACACAGCTATACACACACACACACACTCACACACACTCACACACACACACACACACACACACACACACACACACACACACACACACACACTCACACACACACACACGCAGTCTCACATGTCCTCTCAGAGTGTTTCCACCTCGTCTTCTTGGTTGTATTTTTTCTGAATGGAAGTTTAAACAGTTGAAAACTCTCTGCGTCTCACTACGATCTCAGTCCGTTAGTTTAAAGACAAACACACACACACTCATTCTGACGTATATATGTGTGTGTGTGTGTGTGTGTGTGTGTGTGTGTGTGTGTGTGTGTGTGTGTGTGTGTGTGTGTGTGTGTGTGTGTGTGTGTGTGTGTGTGTGTGTGTGTGTGTGTGTGTGTGTGTGTCGGTGTCGGTGTTGTTCTAGTCGGGTTCTTCTTGGGGTAAACTGGTTTTCCTCTGGATGTCGATGATCTCAAACATCTCACAGATCTTCTTTAATATAAAGTAACAGTGATAAACTCTGTGCTGTCCCTTTAAATTAAAAAAACTCTCTCTGTCCTCACAGGGTAACCAGGACACACCGGCCCCCCCGGATCCATCCATGGCCCAGGCTTACCCGTCCGCCCAGTTCGCCCCCCCTCCTCAGAACAGCATCCCGGCCGAGTTCACAGCCTCACACCCCCACGCTCACCCGCACTCCCACCCTCACCCGCACCAGCACCCGGCCGCCCCCCAGGACTACAGCGGGGTCCCCACCTCC